TGCAGTGCACGAGAATGTTGTCGAAAATACAGACCCCTCTATTCGTCATCGCTCGTCAACGTTACATCGTTTCCAACTGCACTCTTGTTTTGTCGATTGTGTTGACCAAAAAACTCGCGATGTTTGAATGTCCATTTTCGTAGTAGGCTTCGATAACTTTAACACGTTGTTTGATTGTTCATCTTTCCATGGCTAAAATTGCCAAAAACATAAGCTGTTAAATCTGAAAGAAAAAGAAAAAAATCATTAGACGCTTATACTTAATTCACATTTAAAATCCGTCCATGTCGTTGAAACAGCCTTTATATTTCCCATAGATTTACTTGTCACTCTGTTCTGACCTAAGGTCAATTTTTTCATAACCTAATTTCAATTTTAATGCCTAATCTTCATTTGTCATTTCTCTTTGGCTAAAATGATTTTTTATATAATTCCTAATCAATTTCACCTTTCTTATACTTATATTTTGTCAGCTTCTAAGTTATGCAATTTATCCATAATATTGTCACATTCACAAAGCTTATTTCCATAACCTTGAAGCATCCTCTCCCTGGTGTTCCAAGAAGAGGACTCTAGATAAACCTTTAAAAAAAACTACAACCTGTAATTGGAATGAATACAGTGACAGCAATTTCCTTAAATTTAACAAGAAAATAAGCTTAAGAAATACAATATGAATTTGAATCAGTTCAGTGAAGGCATAAAAAACTGAAAGAAACTCGGACTAGGGACTCATTTGCTTATTGTATTTATTCAACCTATATGAGAAGCCTATCGTAAAAGAAATCGAAACATACCAAGATTAATGTTTAGTGGACATTTGCGTAACAATATATGATACGAAGATGACACAGAGGACTTAGAAAGAAAACTGAAACAAAAAGGTTCTCAGACAAGGTATTAAAGAAAAGCCAGAAAGAATGGTTAAGCATATGGCATCAGAATGAGATTTTAAAAAAATGTCAAAATCTTCTATCAAGTATTCCAAGAAATATGACTCAAGATAAATATTTTCAATACAGAAATTATGATCTGGAACTGGAACTGGAGTATATGAGATAAGGAAATAGATCATAGAATAGAAGACACTAGGGGTCGTTTCGCTAAACACTAGGAATTGCTATAAAACAAAAACATTAGCATAAAACTGAATTCATGTTCTTAAATAGGCCTCGTCAATTCAGGACATTTCATACGGATATCATGCAGATGAGAATTCGAAGACCTACCGAGATTAATGTTTAGTGAAAATTAGCGTAACAATATATGATACAGACGACTCAGAAAGAAAACTGAAACCAAACAGGTTCTCAGACAAGTTATTAAAGAATAGCCAGAAAGAATGGCTAAGCATTTGGCATAAAATTATCAACATCTTCTAACAAGTATTCCAAGAAATATGACTGGAACGAAAACAATGATTTTAGCTTCTCTGAATCCACTATAAAATTTCACTATGTGGAATTGGTAACCGCTAAATAATTCAAATTCCTCGGTGTATAGCTCAGTAAACAAATTTAGTATAGAAGATAAGAAAATAGCATAAATCTCCAACCATGTTCTTAAATAGGCCTCATCAAATCAGGACATTTCATACGGATACCATGTAAATGATCACAGTTATTCAGAAATATCTAATCTGTCAGCTGTGTCCAACCGATTACTCATATTTATGATTAAAAATGGGTTCGTGGGAAATAAAATATGTATGTCATTGAACCTTTTCGACTGGTGCTACATAATCACAAAGAACTTTTCCAATAGTTCGAAGTAATGTGATTACCTCGACGCTTATTTTCTATTAGGAAAGGGCGATAAATATTACTGGGATTGAAAAACCTATTTGCCTGAAAAATACGTTCTTAATTTTCTACCGAAAGTTGCAATGGCTGCTGGGTCAATAAATGATGAATGTTTTCTTATAAGGAAACAGTTAACATTACCATTTCCAAGCAAAATTATACAAACTGCTAGAAGCTGCTCCTCAAAAAAAAAAAAAAGAAAAAGAAAAGATAACCTACGGAAGGGAGTCGTGCCGCTATACGAATAGCCAAACTAAGAAAAACGGTTCTCCAATGACGTTACATGATGCTTTACATGCATCAATGAAATCCTTAGAATTTGCTTCTCATAGATAATTATCCGCTTAAGTAATATTTATTAGGGAATAGGTTTTTCGCTCTTGTGTACATGAGATCACGAGTCTTAGCGGTAATGTTTTTTTCCAGATAAAAGGTGGTTTCAATCCGTCGTAACTTATATTCTTCTTGGTTTGGAAGAAGACCCAGCATGTATCTGTAGGATTTGTCTATAAACTTGGAGACGAGATATTCTTAGCGGTCATTTCCACAGATCGCAATCAACAGCCGTAATTTCCGGACACGTACTGAGAAGAATGGCTTGGGGGATTTTGACACTCCCGTGACATATTTAAACACAAAAGAGATAGAGTGAAGCATACTTAACGAGAACATGTCATTACATGGAATTCGAGTGATAGAAAGGGTTCAGACATTGCTCCGAAGGATACGAAGCTGAGGAGAACAATGATCACGCACATTTTGAAGGGACATGACATATACAAAAAAAAAGATGTATCTTGCTCTTCTACATTTAGAAAGTATTACATTATATATAAAATTATCGGTGTATGCAAAGTAGGCCATCTTTTCTTTACTCATTCAAAAATAATTTGGTAACTTTACTATTTATAGTGCGTTGAGAGAAATAAAAATAAAAGGTTTTAAATTCAGGAAGCTATTCATAGATGGTGACGAAAAAGAATTTAAAACATAAAATAGATAGGGAGGAAATCGAGAAACGCAGAGACAAACTTTTCTTTTCTTTTTATGTGCCATGTCCTTGCAGGACGTAGGTGATCATAGCTCTCCAACCCCTCTGTGTCTTGCAGCTCTGAAGTTCCTTCCCTCTGCTTCCTCCAAAGTCGTTGTGTCACGCGTTGTTTTCCCTTGTTTCTCTTTCCCTCTATTCGACCCGTGAGTATCAGATTCTCCAAGCCCTTCTTCCTCATTATGTGTCCTAAAAACTCAAGCTGCCCCTTTCTGATATCTCTATCTATAAAAGGCAGGATGTGTGTGTGTGTGTGTGTGTGTGTGTGTGTGTGTGTGTGTGTGTGTGTGTGTGTGTGTGTAACGAATGCACGGCCGCAATTTTCGACGAATTTGCACCAAAATTTACATGCACATGCTCCAAGTTACTAGGAAGGCCAAGACCGACTTTGCATTTCCCAACTCCCATCGATAGTGGAAATAATCGATTTTTTAATGCTTCTAAGCGGTTTTCATGTAGTTTGTGGCTATTTTGTACTGGCCAGAATGAGAGCCTATAGCTGGCTGACACGAATAGACAGGAAGATTCTATTGGCCAGCGTAAGAGCTAACAGCTGACTGACACGAACGTTAACTAGCATGCTAGCATGTAAAAAAAAACGATAGCTGCATTCGTCATAACTTGGAAAAATTTACATCTGCATGGCACTTTACTCCAATTGGCTCATTCGCTTGCTTAAACTCAACGTTGATTCTGATTCTGCAGAAGTGGGTTGGGTGTGAAAAAGTATTTATGGTTAACATTCTTTTTTTCATTCGCTCTTTCCAGTTACGAGTCCTTTTTTAAAGCTGATCGTTTTGTGTTCACTTTGTTTAGTTCTTTTTTCGTAACAGATTAATGTTTAGTATAGAGCTTAGAAAAAATTCGCAGTGTGAAATAGGCAAGAAGTAAGGCATGTAGCAACATCGGAACGACAAAGGGCACTCCTTTAAAGGCAAGGAAGGGCAAAAATATTTTAAGCGATTGCTGTATGAGTCGTACGATTTTTGAATCAAGCACGGACAACGGCAGGCCAAGCTGCTAGTTAAGTATGTCTCCTCCTTGCTTGCAACCTCTAAGATATCATGGTTGCTCACACTCTCGGTACATGATATCCTTAGTATCCATCTGTAGAACCACATCTCTATCGCCTCGAGTCTCTTCTTCATCTTTGAGGGAATCGTTCAACATTCCCTGCCGTAAAGAAGGACAGAATTCTTTTCTTTGTTACCAAAGTAATGCTCCTGTCTCGCAATACTCTGCCCAGCTTTTGGAATGTGTCCTTGGCCATCCCAAACCATCAACGGATCTCAGTTAAAATGACAAAGTTAAAAACAGGAAAAGACAAATATTGACAAAAGATTATCGTGACAGGAAGGAAAGATAGAATGGGACTGAAATATGATAGAGATTTATATTTTAAAATTTTTAAAATAATTTAGCTTTATCGAAATAATGACGGGAAGAAAGAAGAAAAAATGAAAGATAAAATAGAAATGACATACGGCAAAGATTTATATTTCAAAACTAGACTACCCGTGACCCGTTGGGTCACTGACAGTTTAAGTCATGAATCATTGAAGCTGATTTCAGCATTAAAATGTGTCTGTTTGAAGAAAGGTCAAATAAAAATACTTACTCTATAAAGAATTCGTATTTTTAAATCTTATTCACTTAGAATATTTTTCTAAAATTAGATTAACTTAAAAATATTTTTATATGCCAAAAAATATTTTAAAATCATATTCACTAGAAAATAATTTTTAAATATGCCAAAAATATTTTTTAAATATTTAAAATATTGTTTGTGTAAAGAGAGCTGAAATATAAATAATTACTCCAGAAACAACTGGACGAAACAGCAAAGCGGGATCTCTTTTTGTTTGTCTTTAATGTAAAAACATTTTAATTAAAAAAAATGTCCGTTTGATGAAAGTTCAAATAGAAATAATGTTGGAAGGAAAGAAAGAAAAATGAAAGACAGAATGGGAATGACATATGATGAAGCTTTATAGAATGGGAATGACATACGATAGAGATTTATATTTTAAAATAATCTTGCTTGCCAGAAATAATACAGGAGAGAAAAAAGAAAAACAAAAAACAAGATGGAATGGGAATGACATGCGATGACGCTTTATATTTTTTTAAATAATCTTGATTTATAGAAATTATAACGGAAAGGAAGAAGAAAAAAACGAAAGAAATTGATAGATAGATAGATAGATAGATAGATAGATAGATAGATAGATATGAATAGCCTGAAATAGATAGATAGATAGATAGATAGATAGATAGATAGATATAGAAAGCAACAGAGAGATGAAAAGATTTGCAGAATTATACATGTTCAGAATAAGATAGAGATATATATTAAAGCACTGCCAAATAGATAGATAGATAGATAGATAGATAGATAGATAGATAGATGAATATGAAGAGGCTTAGATATATATATATATATATATATATATATATATATATATATATATATATATATAGAGAGAGAGAGAGAGAGAGAGAGAGACAGAGAGATGAAAAGATTTATACACGTTTAGGATAAGATTGAGATATATATGAAATCACTGCCAGATAGATAGATATGAACAGCCTAAGATAGATAGATAGATAGATAGATAGATAGATAGAGAGAGAGAGAGAGAGAGAGAAAGAGAGATGAAAAGATTTGCAGAATTATACATGATCAGAATAAGATAGAGATATATATGAAAGCACTGCCAGATAGATAGATAGATAGATAGATAGATAGATAGATAGATAGGGATAGGTAAGGAAAACATTTGACTGATAATATGTAACAAAAAAAATGTTCTTAATGGGCTTTTACCATCGAGTATAGAGAAAACGAATTAAAACCTGAATGGTATAAAAGCAATGTTCTAGAGAAACCGTTAGGTACGTTGTACCGTTTTAGAAGTGATAGCGACTTGAATGTGTGGTCGGTTCGCAAGATAAATGACCACACCCTTCTTTTTCCTCTTACCTCCCTACTACCAAACACACCCATACGCAATCATATGAAACAAGAGTCGTACACACCTTTTGGAAATTGACTTTCACATCTTGTTAATTTCAAGCCTGGCCGCGCCTATTCTTTTCGTTCTTTCTACTATAAATTTGCATTTATCTGTGGACAAAAACTCACTATTAATAGCTGTTTTTTCTCTCGTTTCTTCTGACCCCTTTTATCGTATACTTTATTTCTTTTTCTTTCATACGCACATATTTCTTTCCCCCCAAGCAAGGCAATAAAGCCACTAAGACGCAATGGGGGGGGGTTACTGTGTTTTAGATAATGTGAGAAAAACTAGTATGAAGCAGAGAGGACAACAAAAGAAAAGGAAATACAAAGACAGAAGAAATCGATTGACATTCCATTTAAACTTTATGAGTGCTGACTGGGAAGCAAGAAGCCGAATGAGAGTTCCACATGTGAGAGGTGAGATAGAAGAAACTGTTAGCATAGAACTTCCGGTTACATCTAGCCTTTTCAACTGACTTGAGACAACAGAAATGTGGTTCTACAGAAGCATGCTGACAATAACATGAAAAGAGGATTTGAGCAACGAAGCAGTTTTAAGAAAAAAATGGGAAAAAAACTTATACTCATCATCAGACAGAAACAGTTGAAACTTCATGGACACACCATCAGGAAAGAGTTCTTTGAAAATTTGACACTCACGTATCGAAGGCAAGATAAACAGAGTGAGACAGCGTACAACCTACATAACGAGCTTATGCGAATGGATTACAGAACGTGTTGTGGTAGGGATGGCAAAATCACAAACATTCTTAAAGAAAAGGATTTGGGGAGGACCATGCTCGCCGACGTGCCGAAGGAACACGACAAAAAAAGATGGCGACGACTGGGTTGAATCATAAGCAATTTTCGTTTTTGGGAGCCAATTCTAATGACGACATTCTCACGCAAAATACTGATGATCTGAAGTACACGAACTTTTTTTTTTAATCTTTTCACCCAAGGAAGTTAATAAAGCCACTAAGGCTTAAGTCGACACTGACTATGAAAGCATATGAGAAAACCATTCTTGAGGAAAGAGGAGAATAAAAGATCAAAGTTCAAACAGACAGAGGGTGAAGACTGACGTTGTATTTAAAATTTTCAAGGTCATATTCGGCTGGAAGGCCGGAATACAGTTCCACAAGCGAGAAGTGGGAGAGAAGATAGCACTTTAGCATATCACTTTGTTTACATCTAGCAATTTCAATAGTAAAATGATGAGATCTAGCTGCCAATCTAGTACCGCGCATAAAGTCGCGATATCAAAGAGGAAACCCCCACAAAAGAATTAACATGGAACTATTTATAGATATGCCTACAGAGAATAAACGTGTGAATATACAGTAAGAATTCTACTGAAACCTAGATGACACATCAGGGCCGATAGTTTTGCAGACTTTTCTTTGACTTTTTTCAAGTATATCTAGATACATAAAAACACTAGACCAGTTGTAGCAACAATATCCAATGTACGGCTGAAGAGTAGGCATATAAATTTCCAAGATAAATTTCTGGCGAGAGAGACTGTCTAGAACGAAATCGTGCATCAACTTTCCTAGCAGTCGTTTCAATATAATCGTTCTACTTTGTATCCTGTTGCACTGGTGGGAATAAAAATTGATGAGGTCATTCTTGTTGGTAGATTTTCTACTTAAGAATAATTTAAGTCAAGATTCTATTTAAGAGGGCTAACAATCCGCACCCCAAATCTTATCTGAAGAAGAAACATACATAGGAAACACATCCAAAAAGCACCAACATCCTCATTATTTCATCCACAATACTAAGAGAAAGGCATACAAAATATACGTCCGCAAAAGATAATAACATTCTAAACAACTATAACAATGAAAATAAACTCTATAAAACAGCCATATAATACTACCCACTAGCTCTCTAACATCTAATATGCAAAAGAATTTGTTAACAATATCAAAATAGTTATAGTTACTTCCAAAACTAACATCGATATGATCAAAACGAAAAATACCCATTACAATAATTATTCTGAAGCGGGTATTTATAAAATAAACTGTAACGACAGCTATTCACAATATCTTGGAAAAAATTTCAGGAATAAAAAAAAAAACGCATCTATGAACACAGAAAGGATCTTATACACAACAATGTAGCAAATGCATTAGATATACACCAGTCAGTTATGTGCCATGCGTGATATTCGCTTAGGCGATCATGTGTCTTTCGATACATGACTGACGAGGCAGATTTGTTTCCTATTGTAGGTTGCAATTTTTTCTACGGTAGACCACTTGCCATCCAAGGCTATAGAACTCAGTCTGTCCTGCTGGAGGGGAGAAGAAGAGGATTCATACCTTTCCCAAGGGTATTAGCACGTAGGGGAACGTAATAGATTCGACTGGAATTCGAATTACAGTTATACATAGAAATAAATTCAACCAAAACTTTGATCTAAATAATGCCAAACTTCTTAAAAAATGGAAAATTCTCGAGAGTTCCGTTATCGAGTCTTATCAGAATATAAATCTGCGGAATTTTTTTTTTCAAATATCTCAATTCCTAAATGAATTGCTCCAATCCCAAGCCAACATAAATAATTATAAAAATGTTTAAAAAATGAAAAGAAGACTGTTGAATTCATAACAACCAGCTATTTGAATACACATAATACATAAATTTATCCCACACTAAAATAATTTAAATATTAATTGTATCCTCCATAATTTACCAAAACGTTTCAGTTAACCTGTTCAATATTTATGAGCGTCTCCTAAATAAAATTAAAAAAATTAGAAAACTAAAAATATTTTAAATTTACTTTTGCAAAATAAAATCAATGTATTTTCCTTGATAAAATTCATCAGTTAAAACGGATCTACTAAAATAACTTTTCCTTTCGTCTTTATATATATATATATATATATATATATATATATATGAAGAAAAATATACAGAAAAAACAAACAAAAATCTTAATATGCAATTATGCTGTATTAATGTCAATATAAAGTCAACGTCGGACGTTTCGGTCTATTTTAGACCATCTTCAGGACATTTTCATTTAAACATAATTAACATTAGAACATATAAAAATTCAACATTTCAATTTTTTATAACGTGGAGGACTTCAAGCTTGTATGAAGATATAAGAACCTATTGATCTCTGCGTATTCCTATATCAACGGAAGGGATTTCTTGAACTGTTTATATAAAATAGTTCAATCGACATTTTTAATATTTTAATATTTGGAAATCATCTTCGAATACGTTTTCACAACATCGCCCACGTGACGACAACGTGATCATATTTAAACGGAACGCTGATCTTATATAAAAATTTCATTTTTGTTTGTTTTTTCTGTATATTTTTCTTCATACTGTCGGATCTATATCCATATATTTGCTTACATATATATATATATATATATATATATATATATATATATTATTTAAGTAATTCATCGAGTATGAAAGAAACCTCAACAGAATGCAGAATGCACTGGACGGCCGTTTCGTCCTATATTTGGGACTCATCAGCAGTGCGCATCCACTAGCGAGAATTGAAATCCTGACAGTTATGTTGTCAAGCAAACATCATACCAACACCGGGCCTCGGTGACGAGAGATTGCCAATCAGACTCAATATAGCGCCGCTCGTTCACATATTCCGCGGTGGAACTCTTACTGAGTTCTCTCTAACCATAGGACTGTGCTTCCCGGGGCCACGATTACTATCACCAAGCCGCTTACTCTAGAGCATTAGAAGCCGGTTCAAGCAATGATGCATTCTGATGAGGTTTCTTTCAGACTCGATGAATTACTTAAATATAATTATCAAATTCTCCTAATAATTTCTATCATGTACATCAAAAAAAAAGTGGAAAGTGTCTATCGGTGAAGCTCTTTTCCGCTTTCGACATTTCGATAGTCTTTGACTATATCTGGCATTCAGGTCTTCTCCACAAACTGAAAAGTTACGGTATATTTTAGGTGATCCGGTTGTTCATATCAAATCGTGAAATGATACACGGGTGTCCCCTGGGTTTCCATGCTTGGTTTGTTTTTAATCTTCATTAACGACCTTCCCGATACATCAGCTCCCAACTTGGCATCTACGCTGTGGACACTCCAATTTACACCTGCCTCGATACTAATGCTGTTTAGTCTGAATGGCAGCTTTTAGACAAAACGACTTCAAGACCGTCGTTAACTAGGGCAAAAGATGGCTTGTAAATTTTAATGCATCCAAAACTAAACTTTAATTAATCATCTGAGATAATTCTATTTCTGCCTTCCATTAGCTTGGCTGATGTTCTCCTCCAGAAAAGTGACTCATTGAGACTTTTCAAGCTAACGTTCTCAGCTGACATGAAGTATAAAGACTATAACAAATTCATTGCTAGGTCTGCTGCTAAGGAAGTCGGTTTAATATGAATGGCAAGACAACTCTTCTCTCGTTAATCAATCTTGCATATCTATAAGTGTACCATTCACCCAAGCTTAGAATATTGTTGCCATATATCGTCGGTGCATTTGCTATTTACCGGGAACCCCTTGATAAGTTCCAAAGAAGAATCAGCAATATTATAGGTCCTGATCTGGTGGCTGAGCTTCAGACTCTTGGCCACCACCGTAAGGTTGCCTATTTGGGACTTTTTTTATAAATATTTCATGGTAATTGTTCGGATGAGGTCTTTGCTATCGTACCTCGCCTGTATGAATTTGAGCACAATACTAGAATGACAACGAGGACTCATCTATTTACAGTTGAATTGACTAGATGTAGCCATAACTTTTACGCGAATAGTTTTTTCTCGCATCTCTCGTTTGTGGAACTCCCTTCCGGACCCTTGTATTCCAGCCAACATTGATCTTCAAAAATTTAAATTCAATGCCAATCGCTATCTACTGTCCGCCTAGTCGCTCTTTTGTATTTCTACTCGTTACCAATGTTTGTGCTCCTGATTCCTTCACACCCTGTGACCACTTGCGTTTTAGTGGCATTATTGCCTTGCTTGTGGTGACACTAATTCTCTCTCTCTCTCTCTCTCTCTCTCTCTCTCTCTCTCTGTATATATATATATATATATATATATATATATATATATATATGTATGTACACACACATAGATAGATAGATAGATAGATAGATAGATAGATAGATAGATAGATAAAAGGGCTGTTTCAGGGCCAGAGCAAATATAAATACAAAAATATACAAGTGCATGCTTAGGCTAACACCGAATGGCAACAATTTGTTTTAAGCTTGAAAGCAATAATCAGGTCAACATGACCTGGAAATTGCGTTCAAGAATGAAATAGAGTTGATGTTGGCCACAGTGTCCAAGAAAATAATACTTGTATCTATAAAAAAAACTGATAACAGTATATATATATATATATATATATATATATATATATATATATATATATATATATATATATACACTTCGTTCAATATGTGGTTATACACGACTGGACAAATTCTCTTACCCTGATCTTTTCATCAAATGTAACATTGATGTTACTGAATCCTTTCTGATGCAGTCAGTTCAGACGAGCTGGTCATGTCACCAGAATGAGTGTTCATTCCGAAAATCCTCACGTGTAACCAACTTTTCCATGGTAAGCGTAATTTAGGCCGTCCTTGGCTACGCTTCATGGACAAACTTAAATACAATTTAAATGCTGCAAAAATTCCTATAGAGGAGTTTGACGTTGCTGTTGAAAACCGAGCAAACAGGGGAAACACCTGCTACCGAGGTATGACTAATTTTGAAAAGAATCGTCTCAAACATCTGAGAGAATTAACAATTAACACTAAAACCCGGGGTAATTCATCAACCCATAAGACGGTCAACCCTTCAGTATGCCCTTCGTGTCGATTTGTTTGGAAATCCTTTGTAGGATTGTTGTCTCGAAATATAAAGATAATAACTGAACGGAAAGACGAGAGTGTCCATCAATATATATATATATGAAAAGTGTATATATATATATATATATATATATATATATATATATATATATATATTATACATATATATATATATATATATATGAAAAGTGTATATATATATATATATATTATACACATATATTCATATATATATATATATTTACATATGAAAAGTATATATATATATACATATACATATATATTATACACATATATACATATATATGCATATATATATATATATATATGAAAATTGTATATATATATATACATATATATATATATATTATACACACCCACACACACACATATATATATATATATATATATATAGATAGATAGATAGATAGATATATAGATATATATTTTCTTTTAAAGTTCTAAACCATTTCTTCTTGACTCCATGCCTTTATCTATCTAAACCTTTCAAAGCTCTCTCGCACGCTTTATTCCCTCTTCTCAATTTTCTCCGGAAATAATAGACCAACCATTGAAAATAATTTCGTTTTTGTCTCTTTTCCGCGTTTGCCTGCAGTCGTTCTTTCAACTTCAATATACTTTCTATTTGCTGTGTCTATACGTATTCTAGTGGGATTAAAAAAAAAGGCGATACTCGCTCTGAAAGCGAAAAGATAAATGACTATTTCTTTTCAAATCTTTTTCTTTTTTGCTTTTGGCATAGTGCCACGTTTCTCTCTGGTATCTGCTTTATTCGAGTTACGAACAGTTCTTCAGCTCAATACGTCAAACAGCAAGATTTCTCATCACTGTATTGTTGAGGTGACCCGTCGACAAATTAAAGTAAGTTTAGCACACACAGAATTAAATAAAAACAGGGAAAACCAATAAAAAAAAATCTGAAGGAAAAACTTAAAAAAAAATAAAAAGAATGAAGAAAATATTTTAATAAAAATTAAAAAAAAAATGAAAATGTCGATATACTAATAAATGAGGCCAAGGGTGAAAAACATGAGATCATCGAAGAAAGAGAAATGTAGATTTGACCGATATGAAGAAATAAATGAAAATATTGAAAGAAAACTGAAATTATGTGGAAAATAAAGGTTACTAAAGATGTATTCTCGCCATAGGAGTGAAAGCACTGTTGTTGGTTGCTCAGGAGATTTGACTGAATCTTCTTGTTTTTTTTCTAACCTGGCGAAAATCTTATTTTATTTGGGCTGAAAAGGGGTGCTTTGATAGACGAAGCGGTTACTATTGTTAACCACTCATCTGCTTTTTCGCGAAGAGCATCCTTTTCACATCTCTACCAATTGTTATCTGGCTATTCTAGATGTCCTTCATATTTTTGGAAGAGGGTCTCCTTCGAAAATTAGCGGAATTTTCGATCATTTATTAAAATAATAAATACGAACGAGAAAGGAAGTTCGTTGGGTTAATTTAATGACATATCTTCTACATAAAGGGTTCGAATTCCAACGTATATCAACGTATATCACCTGAAGAAGGCCATAGTGTACAACGGCCGAAACATAGTGAATATGTCAATAACTCCGAACAATGTAAATAGTGTAAATACCTACAGTTGTTGGATCATTTAATGCTTTATATGGGATATACAGAAAACAGTTCCAATGGATTATCGGTAAACATGTTACGATGGAATTAAAAAGGCAGCTGCGGGTCGAACTTGCCTTTGTCTCAACAAAATGTAAGATACAAGTCCGGTTTACTCTCGTGTCAAAAAATCTAGAGACAAGTACATTTTATAGTAGAGCCAAAAGCGGTAGTTACAGATCCGATTTGTGTTAGAATAAAATAGAATGTTAGAAAGGTACGATTTTTACTCGATAATCAATATAGGTGAACACAGTAAAAAAACAGGTTGACACTCATCTGGTTTTAAGTAGCGTGAAAGAAAAAAGCAGAGAGAGGTGTGGTTTATACTAGACTCAAGAAAAGGATGGACACAGGTCCCTTTTACACTAGAGTAAAAACAGGTAAAGATAGATTTAATTACACTTCAGTAACAAAAAAAAAGACTACAGGGTGGTCCGAAAGTCTTGTCACGACTGCATAACAATTTTTTTTCAGTTTTATATATATATATATATATATATATATGTGTGTGTGTGTGTGTGTGTGTGTGTGTGTGTCCTAGGACACATGGTCAATGGACAAAAGCGTTAGTTGGATGCAGTGACTTAGCACAAAGATATGTGAGTTCAATACCTGGCAACTGCAGAGAGTTAAAGTGAGATAACTCAGTTATCCTGAGAGGCGTGGCACTAGGTACAAGAAAAATATACTCTGTTGTACGAACTAAATTGTTCAGGTGGAAATTACAATCACCCGAAGTAGGTCGGACAACGTACAACGTCACAAAACTTCGTAAATATGGCATAAAAGATGGGGTCAACAATCTGAACAATGTAAATAATCTAATTCATTACAATAACTAATCTGAGAAATATAGAAAGATATTTTATATATAAGGAAAATGGATGACAAATTGTAAAAGCAGGTGTTTCCATTTTGCCATATATATGCCATAAACTTTATATAATGTTTTCATTTTTCAAACCCGTTCAAGATATTGTATCCAAGTCCATAGTTGAGTTTATTGAGTGTTGTTTTCTTGATTTTATTAATAAGGCTTCCATTATTTTTAGCCTTAATTTTTTTTTTCGCATGTAGATGATGCTATTATCTTTGTGTTGTCAACAAGTATGTTACGAATCGTTCCGGTAGATTTCCATGGTTATTTAAATGAGACATAATTGAGCTATGGTGAGAAAGATGTAGTGTAATTCTTCGTGTTATACATGTTGTAGTATGGCCTATACAATTATTTACGGCTTTTGCTTGATCGGGAATACAAATCCTTAATGACCGTGTTTTGTAAACTGAAAATATCATATAAATATATAAATACAATAAACTATTTCTTGTTAATAGTTAATATATTTCAACCTTGAAAATGGCTAAATGTATAGCCGAAAGCGTTCGGATAAAAAGAACAATTGGACAGATTTACATAATTTATCATCCGAAAAGAAAAAAATTATGAGATCACATGAGATATTTTATAAACACTAAATCAAAGCAGCTTGTCTGTCGTATTCAATATATATATATATATATATATATATATATATATATATATATATATATATATATAAATAAGGGTGTTAAATATATATATATATATATATATATATATAATAAGGGTGTTAAATACGGAGAAAGTACTCACGACAAAGATGCATTTTTGTTTCGATGCGAACGCATCTCGACAGATGAGGAACAAAGATGGTTATAAACAATTCTATTTAAAGATGCTACTTATGAAACATCGCTTCCTTTTTTTCATTATTCATTTTTTAAATGCATGAGGAGAAACACTATGAAAAGAAAAGGAATATATAATGTGTTTCTATGAAAGTAAAATAAGAAGAAGAAACAGGTAAAAGCAAATAGAAGAGGATAAGACAATAAAAGGGAAAAAAAGGGAAAGAAGGAAGAGAAACATAAAAGTTAAAAAAAAATTAAAAGACAACACATCATAACTCCAAAGAAAAAGGATAAAAAAAATAGAAGAGAATAAAAGAGAAAAGGGAAAAGGAGATTGATCTACATGAATACGAAAAAAAGAAAGAAAAAAGAAAGAAAGAAAGAAAGAAAGAACAAAGCAAGACAATATGTGTTGCTGATAACAATTCAGCCAATGAAAGAACGTTAACATTAAGGTAAATAACTATCCCGAAAGATTTGAATTTAACCGGAAATATTTCGTATATTGAAACACTCTCGATACTATGTAACGATCAAAGTTTGACGTTATTCAAAAGAGCAGACATATTTAATAGAATTAAACGTAGTATGTAAATAAAAGAACCTAAGTAAAAAAAATAGAAATGCAAAAATATTTAAAATATTACATTAAAAATTTAGATTAAAAATTTAAATTCAAAATTTAAAATATAAATAAAAAGACATGTATAGAATACTAGTATAATTTTTTTTTAATATATTCCACCTATTACCAAACTACATAACTTGTATTATAAGTATAGGTCTAAAACTATTTTTATCTAATATCATTGCTAGGACTATACATTTACAAATCAATTTAGAACCTTAATTTAAGATAGATCAGTAAGTATAATAGTGATATATATATATATATATATATATATATATATATATATATTTAATAAAAGACAGACCACGTTAAGATTCCATGTAATAAGCTATTTCACCATAACCCCTTTAACAGGGTTCTGGATCATCAGACTTTACTTCCAAAAGCTGGGTCTGTTTTTTATTCAAACATATATGCTCTGAATTTTATATTGAGCTCTCTGGATATCATCCTCCTCAGGTCTACCCATACGGATTACCTAAATTTGAATAAACTATATATATATATATATATATATATATATATATAAGAATGTAAAATAATATATAAGAGAAGTGAATTATATAGTTAAAGGTTCAGCAAGATTGTAATGTAAGATATTTAATGTGCCTATAAAGAACGGTAGTTTCGAATCTTTTGTTTAACAACTGACTATTATTCAAAAGCTTAATAATACACATTTTTTCTTGTAGACATAAAAGTCAAGGTTCATGAAAAGTTCTACAATTTCTCGCTTGTTTGAAGATCTTCCCTTTAACTTTAGTTTCCTTTTTCAAATTCAAGAAATATTTACAAAGTGAATTCATGTTGCGCTCGCTGGCATAAGTAAAAGAAGGTATATGATTTTAATATCGTTTTTTAAAGGAACTACTGATGATGATCTCAGAAAGAGATGGAAAGTAATTGTGAAATAAAAGTTATTGTCACTGTTACAGTGCATTTTTTGCATCATTTGATTGTAATACACTGGAAAATATTCGTGAAAATGAAAGGATTATGCTAAAAATAAGCAGACTGTAATTTATTTAATCAGAAATGCTTACAAGAAAATTAGCTGTCTAAATACACACAGACACACAGACACACACACACAGATAGATAGATAGATAGATAGATAGATAGATAGATAGATAGATAAAATGAGAACAAATGGAGTATAATGCAACTGTCCGTAAGATTTAATTTAAAAAGGGCTCAATACAAAGTAGAGCTAAATATTTGTTTTAAGATAGTGAAACAAAAATATGTTAAAATTGCTACACAATTAAAATTTCTAATTGTAATTGTAATTACAATGTTAAAAAGCACTACACAATTAAAATTACTAATTGTAATTGTAATTTAGTAGCGATTTTTAACGTTTTAATATGCAAAAATATATATATATATATATATGATTACACACATACACACACATTGACATATATATAAAAAGTAGTAAATACTAATATATCTACAACAGATCCTAGCAAAAAAATTAGGTTAATCATATACTACACTAAATCTAGTATATCCAACTCACTTATTCGCAATGATTCTTCCCCACTCCTCGTTAGTGATTTGCAAAAACCGACATAGTTTACAAATTCAAGTGTCCTTTGATAGTTTTTGTCTCTAATGGATTAAATAATATTTATGTTGGTCACACCACAAACTCGCTTTCACGGCGCTTGACTCTACATTTGAATGATAGCTCTAACATTTTTAGGCATTTAAAACAACATGCCTGGTCGCGTACACAATTCCGGAAAATCCTCGTTGAAAACACAACTATACTTAAACATGAAAACAATAAACAAAAACTTAAATTTCTTGAAACTTTATACATAAAACTGTTGAAAAGTAACTTGAGCAAAATAAACTACGAAATCTCCACAAATATTCTTAAATGGCTATAATTGATGACGGAAGTCATTGGTTTACACCAACAGCTTCCAATACTTCTCGTTTTCACTCTCGCGTGGTCCTGTGTGACGTTACGGGCTGCGATGCGATTTTCATTTCCACGTCTCGTATACACGAGTTAGTTGTTGTTTTAAAATTTTTCTTGCAACAAAAACAGACTATCATTATTGTTTCGTCCGTGTATTGATTGATATATTGAAATGTAATTGTCATCTTTGATAATGGCTTATGTAAACCGAAAGCTTAGATTGCATTTAAAAATGTATCAATATGGTGATTTCCTTTCTTCTTTCAATGATAATGCGAGTAAGCTTATCAGGCAATATGAAAGGAACTTACTTAAAATAAATAGACAAAACTTGTCTATATTATTTAATGAAACATGCATCAATATATATATATATATATATATATATATATGATTATAGGCTCAAATAGAAAAACAAATATGTACCTATCACGGGACAAATAAATGCTTACTGACTCAAGTATAAACGACCAATACGTACTGCTCCACGAACAAATACTATTCCTTGGGTAGGAACTTATGTCCCTAACTGACTAATCGATTATCACGCTTGAATTCAAGAATAAACGCTAACATCTAATTGTATAAACTATCGTTCGCTATAAAAAGCTCCAGATGGCCAAAGGTAATAGGCCGTACAGAAAAGCACATGTTAGGCTGACTGTAAGTAATAAGGTGTCCTATGTAATAATTAAAAGATACGCTGAATATAAGACTTTCAGTAATTGAAAAATTCTAGACACCCATATACATACATTACGTGATTTAATAATTGTAAATCGTAATATTTTGGCAAACCAGGCAAGAAAAACAGTTTCTAATATCTTTCCCCCGGTCTGTCTCGCCAGAGATCAAAGGTTAACTCGGAACTTTTAAACAGCCCATATTTATTTGGGGGTAAAATGGCAACGTGGGATAAAAAAAAATCTGAAAAAAGTTGAGAAAGATTCCAATTGTAGATCACGGGAGATTTGTGTGATGACGTCATCAGGCTATGAAATGTTTTACACTGAGCCGAATACACAGTATTCGATAAGCTTCTAATCTGTTCAACCGTTTGACGTGATTTTTTTCTTAATCTTTCATAGCACTGCCACAAGATGTTTGAGTTTGAACTGGTATGCCAGCTCGAATAATCTTTTATTTTAGAAGTTTACAAAGCCGAAATGAAATTGTAAGTCGTTTACGTTAAAAAAGATCGTCGAAGCAAATGTTGGTATTCAAGAAAGACACCAACAACAAAAGGGAGACCACTTTGTTCGACTGTGACATATCTCTATATATAAATGCGAACGTTAATGTGTCAGACATTTTCAACTTTACTCCTAAAAGCCGTAGCCCGACGTCCCATACCATTTTGGTATCAGGCCAAATCCGTGAGCAAATTCAAACCATTTCGAGTCGGATCCGGATAAGTAATCCTGAAATTTGGAATTCCAAAGTTTTCATTACTGCCATTGTTTTCAGAGGGTTTTTTTACGTGATTTTTTGCGACGAATCTTTTGTAAGATAACAATTTTTATAATTTAGAAGTGAATTTGAGTATAACTGAAATTAATTGCGAAGTCCAGCGAAAGTCACACATGAAATAAAAATAGATGTTTGTACGGAAAGTAACGACCTGCGTACATCAAACTTTCTTTAAATTAAGTGGCGGTAGAAGAGTTATCGTTGAAAAGGTAAGCTTAAATATTAGCGCAATATTTAAATGCAGCGATCAATTTTGAGTTCTGTAGTTTATTGTTGCCTACCGCAAAAAGAAATCTCCGCCAACAGAGGACCAGATTGTAATTAAATGAGCCACGGTTGCAGTGAGAAAAAGAAAGTCCAGAAAAAATAAAAACTCAGATCAAACGAAACCATGGAGAGATTCTAATGCTAAGAATATGCAAAGACTTATATATATATATATATATATATATATATATATATATATATATATATATGATCAGGGCTACAGGAATGTAGGACGCCCAGGGCTAGATACAAAGACAAGCTGAAAAAGCAACTTGTCAGCTGTCAATATACCACATAACACCCTTGAGCGCTTAGCCTTGGAGCGGGTAAAATGGAGATCAACGTGTTGTAGTGGACTCAGTAATTTTCAATCTGCTTGCCTGAATGCTCTTCAAGAAGCGAATCAATAAGCTGTCAGATCCTCATACTTCGAAACCGACGGGAGAGTCCATTATATATATATATATATATATATATATATATACACAGACTTTATATATATATATATATATATATATACACACTTTTTATATATATATATATATATATATATATATATATATATATATTATAAATTAATTTATTTAAAATGTGTTTTTTTCGCTTCTAACATTGTTTCAAAAATGGAAGCTGAAAGCTCAATTTAATTTTGCAATTAAATTAAAGACATTAGTTCCATGATAAAACATTAGATTTAAATAAAAATACATACACACCTTATAAAAAAAAACAACACCAATCCTTTATATATGCACCCTAAATCAAATCACCCCCCTCTATAATTAAATATATATATACCGTTATCAATCAGTAAAAGAATAAGTACGAATTCAGCAAATGACAAGATTTTCGATGAGCATATCAATTCCTATAATAAAGCTCTAAAAGAGAGTGGCTACAAAAAAACAAAACTAACTTATATAAAAAATGAAAATGGAAAGCATAGAAAAAACAGATGTAGAAAAATAATTTGGTATACGCCCCCATACAACCAAATATTAAACAACAAATTAGGACAAAAATTCCTCGCATTAATAGTCAAGCATTTTCCTAGTGAAAGTAAACTAAGTACTATTTTCAATAAAAACACACTAAAATTGAGTTACACCTGTACAGAAAACTTAGAAAAAATTAAGAAACATAATGCTAATATCTTAAATAAACACTTATACCAAAATCAAAAGAATTTAGACAATGGAAAAATAAAAATAAAAACTGATGAAGATAAACAAAAGTTATGTAACTGCAGAAACCCTCATAATTGCCCTCTACAAAATAAATGTCGCACAGAATCATTAGTATACCAATGCAATATCTCTTCGATTAAAACTCATGAAAACATAAAAATATATATAGGTTGCACTAGCCATAAATTAAAAAAAAGATTCAACCAACATTGAAGGTCATTTAGGATAAATAAATATAAAAATCAAACATCTCTCTCGAACTGCTTCTGGCACCTAAAAGAATCAAATAAAACACCTACAGTAAAATGGAAGTTAATAAGAAAAGCTAGAATATGTAGATCATTAAATGACCCATGTCCTTTGTGCATGCATGAGAAACTATATATTACTAAGTTTATAAAAAATAAAAAATTACTAAATCAGAGAAATTAAATAGCTATTTTATGCCGTCATTGTCAAAAATTTTCCTTAAATAATATTTAAAAATAAAAATAAATTTAAAAAGTGTAACCAGGTAATATACATACTTATATTTAATGTGAAAAAATAATTTTATATACTGTAAGTAATTCTATTACATTTACTTGTTTATAAAAAAAATAGTCTATTAAAATAACAGTGAAAATATTTTAAAGTTGTATTTAAAATTGTAGTTAAAACTAATTCTACCCTAAATATCTTTTAAAAAATTGTAGTTAAATAAAACGTATTCTAACCTAAACACCTCTCTCAAAGTACTACCGGCACTTAAATGAATCCAATAAAACACCTACAGAAAAATGAAATTATGATGAAAAGCTAGAAGATGTAGGCCATTGAATGACCCATGTCTTTTGTACATACATGAGAAACTATATATTAGTAAGTTTATAAAAAATAAAGTTTACAAATCAGAGAAATTAATTAGCTATTTTTGCCGTAATTGTCATAAATTTTACTTAAATAATATTTAAATATAAAATTTTAAAAATATACATACTTATACTTGATATGGAAAAATAATTTTACTTACTGTATGTAATTCTAATACATTTACTTCTTTTAAAAAAAGAAATATAGTCTATTAAAACTAACAGTGAAAATATTTTAAAGTTGTATTTAAAATTGTAGTTAAATAAAACGAATTCCAACCTAAACATCTTTTAAAATTGTAATTAAATAGAATCTATTCTAACCTAAAGACGTACCTCTTAGTACTACAAGCACTTAAAAGAATCCAATAAAACACCTACAGTAAAATGAAATTAATATGAAAAGTTAGAAGATGTATGCCATTGAAAGACCCATGTCTTTTGTACATACACGAGA